AAATAAATAAACACATATTATTTTTTTTTTGTTGTTTTTAAGTTTTGCTCACATTTTACTTTGCTATATTTCAAAAACTTTTATCAATACTATTGTAATTAAACACTAATCCCCTACCCCACTTACCCCTTTTCCCTGTAACGAACTTCAACACATACTAACAAAACGCATACCTTTGTAAATGAAAAATTTTGTTCCAATAACCATTTCGACCAATCTCATACAAATTCATCCACAAAAACTTATTCCTCACCCATTCGTTTCTTCATCTTCATACTATTTTCAGCTATCATTAATTCAAATACTCATTCGGCAAAATTTCAAAATGCATTTTCGGCTAAACAAACACCATCAAACACAGCAACACAATTGTCACCAACCAAATTGCAAGAGCAACAACAAGCAACAATGAAAAATTCATCACCCTCATTGGCATCACCAAATTCATTTAGTACGAATCGTATTGCTTCGACTTGGCAGGATATCGTTCATAAAGTGCGAAATTTCGATTATAATCGAGTGAAAAATTTAAAACAACATTTTCATTTCGAATTCGTAACGAAGGAAAAATTTTCGGGTATGTGTGTAATTGACAAAAAATAAGTTGAAGAAATAATTTTAAAAATATACAAAATATGTATCCTTTAACAATTTTTTTATTAATCTGTTATTAAAAAAAATTAAATTTCACAATTTTTTGGTGTTTCGCGAACATATTTGTTAAATGGAAAATATTATAACAATAACCTGTATAAAATTATTTTAATATATATATTAATAATTGTTGTTAAGATATATTATATTATGTTATTGTTCTCTAAAAGATCTTCCTAAGTTTCACCACCTAAAGAAAAATTCGAGGAAAGTCACGACTTTAATAAAAATAACTCTGACGAATAAAACTTGCTAAAAATAAATCTTCGATTTTTCATCGCTATTTAAGTGAAATCAATTTGAAAAAATTTAAAAAAACAAACCATCTTTATTATAAATCAGGGTAACCTTTGATCTCAATATAAGTGCAATTATTCTCCCCAATCACAACAAACATCGTACTTTTAGAGAGTTTTTACCATGCTCCAAAATTAGTCTTTCTAAGATAGATAGAAATCGCTTCTTTCCCAATCTGTAAACAATTATTTCACTTGTCGATACCCGGGCATTATAATCCAAGTGAAATAAGGGGCTTTTCTTAGCCTTACCACCGGTATGAAATGATTTTTTTGCAAAAATGTAAAACTAATTTTGAATGGAAAAGTTAAAAAAAAACTTATTCAAAGTATTGAACATTGCTTTTTACATTATTTAACCATCTTTCTGAAAAATTGTGGGTACCATGCCACTAGAAATATTCGTCTTTTGAAGCAAACCAATTAAGACACCCAATTATCGACTTCTGCGTAGGAATCGAGTGCTACTCAGCCAATGCGTGTCCCATCGTCGAAAACAAATGGTAATTGGAAGTGACCAGGGAATAATCATCCTATCGTCATTTCTTAAAGACACCGTCTTTACCGACTTTGACTTTACCGTCATCCGCAGACCAACCCCCCCCCCCCTAATTTAGAATGACGTAATATATGGACTGCCCCTTAGCAGCTCCCAGCCAAGTACTTTGATTGCATTCTGAACCGATTTTGCTTTTCGTGCAGGTGCATTGTCGTGTAAGAAATTTACTTTGCCGTTTTCTCTGGCCCATTCTGGTTGTTTTTCGATGAATGCGTGGTTCAAATTGACCATTTGTTGTCTGTAACGATTAGTCTTTACAGTTTCACAAGGTTTTAGAAGCTCATGATATACCAAACCCTTCTGATCTTACCAAACCAGAGCATTGCCTTTTTACCGAATGGATCGGTTTTTGCAGTCGATGTTGATGGTTGTCGCGGAATAACCCATGATTTTCTCCGTTTAGGATTCTTTAAATAAATCCATTTTTCATCGTCGCTGACCATTCGATGCAAAACTGGTTTTCTTTCGTGTCTATGAAGCAAAATTTCAACATTTTACATGGCTGCCATTTGCTTTTGGCTCAAAGTATCATCTTCATCCAATATTGCTTGTAGTTCGGCGTCTTCAAACTTTTTTGGTGGTCTTCCACGTTCTTCATTTCTCACATCATAATCAATATCTCTGTACCGTTGAAACCATCTTTTGCATGTTAGAGCATGATCACCACATGCCTCGACAAGCGTTCGATGCGACTCTGCAGCACTTTTCTTCAAATGGAAACAAAAAGTTAATGCTTTCCGCAAATCATCACTTTCCGGTACATAATTTGACATTTTCTACACAACAAAAATTCAATGACTGTAAAGTTATTAAAGATATCATGTCAATCAAAAAAAATTAAGGCTCGTTCACAACAAATGTTCCCTACCAACACATTTGTATCTTAACGCTCACTTCATACCGGTATACCTGGCGTATGTATAAGGTACATCATTAGAAAGTATGGACTGGGTTAAAATATGTCTATTATATGTTAATTAAAACATAAAGATCATCATTGTTTTCATGCAGAGTGGGTAAAATATCATGGGTAAAGCATCATTTCCACTAGTTGAGCCATATCAACTGACCAACATTGGATTTAAAATATTATATATTAAATTTGAAACACCATCAGGCTAGTTGAGTTAAAGCTTAGAGGAAGTTATTTTGAAGGTTAAACGATATTTTTTTATAATATACAAGAATTAACTATGCACAAGGTCCACGCGAGTTTAAATCTTTAGACTAGATAGAAAAGAGTTGCCATTAGACAGAAATTTGTCAAAAATGATGAAGTGATGCCATTAATAAACTTGCGATTAGAACGGCATGTGAAGTCTTAAAGTTGGACGCGGAAGTTGGAAGTGAAAATTCAGGGGTAAAGAATTAGAAAATTTATTCGATTTTAAAGCTATTATGAACTTCATGATATCATCCGAATATAATCTTATTACGATTGTGACAGACTAATATTATATAACGCTTCTATTTGGAAATTGGCTTTTATCCTACTCTATCAGATTTCCCGTATTCATCCATATACTCGTACATACGTAATACAGCTTTCTACATTTAAAAGCATACGATAAGAGGGGCATAAATCAAAAAGCTTTTAAACTTTTGCTTTCACTTCTCATTTTAACGTTCCTATTTCCACAGGAATTTAGTATATTCTCTCCTCCAAACAAAATGATATTAATTAAATGTAGAAGAAATCTCAACAGCTTGTTCTGGCCTCACTCATCTATTAGTTTATATTTTGATGCATTTAAAGATGGACAATAAACACACACAACAATACAAAACAAACTTAAAATAACATTTAGACGCTACCTGAAAATTTCTAATTCATACATTAACCACAAATTTTTGATAAATTTTCATGTCTGCGGTATGCAACAACACCAACTCCGCACAACTGAATAATAATCAAAAAGTGGCTAGCTACTGATGGAAATAAAGCATTTTTGTTAGAAAGGAATTCAATCAAATGCGTGTTCTTTTCACTTGTTTGGTTTGTGGCATTTTGATTTGTTGAAAGCACACGTGCAGCTGGCAGTGCATCAGCGCACGGGATCTTCGTCATTTACATTTAGCATTCAACGGTTGTTTTTCTCATGCATGCCACACACACGCTGCACCACAAATGCGCTGCCTGCAACGTTTCTTTGGAAAACTGTGCTGCGGTTGTGGTTTCTATTATTCACTGTTGAAGGTAAATGCAATTGCAAGAGATCAAAGCGCATTTTATCCTCAGCAGCAGGCAGACAGCATAAAAGACTTGTCCAATATACCTACAAGGCACAGTAAAGCACATCACAGCATACCACATATGAATGTACAAAAATACATATTTAGTGACAATGTAAGTAAGGCTAAGAGCATAGTACAGCGGAGAGCAAGGCGGATATATTTTTTTATATATCTCATGCTTGTTTATAACAGTCCAAGTATGATCATTTTCGGGATCAGCCATAGAACCGAACCATATATCATATTACTATCTTTTGTTTGGTGTCAAACTCTCACCCATTGTATATTGTAATTTAAAGCATTTGGCTTTTATCTTCTATTAACATAAAACTAAAAATTATACTCACCAGCAGGTAATCCTGGGTCTAAGTCTTTGTATCACCGTTTTGTAGATTTGAAGGAAGTATACTAACTTCGATGGATAAGTTTAACGAATTTAGCTGAATATTATAGGCTTCGAAGAAAATTATCGCATTCAACAGTATAATTTTCAATTTCTCTTAAGCCCCTATTCCCCTAAAATATTATTTAAAATCGTAAAAATAAAGTTTAAATTTCATATTAAAGTTTCTCTAAAATTATTCAAGAAATTTGACACGGATTATTGCCTAAAGCAATGGTGCAATCTTCGAAGAAATTCTTTACACCGGATCACTATAACATATAACTGTCATACAAACTGAACGATAGGAATCAAGTGCTTGTATGGAAAACATTTTCCTTTAGGAGATATTTTCACGAAAATTTTCACGCGTTTTTGTTCTAGGCAACGGTGTAATCTTGAAATAAATTGTTCAGTTCGAGTCACTATAGCATCTAGCTGCCATACTGATGGATCAAAATCCTTGTAAGGAGTATTTTGCATTTGTAAAGGGTATTATAACTTCGTTGCAAGTGAAGTTAACGTTTTTTTTCTGGCTTTCCTAATTATGCCTAAGCTATTGTTTATTTCTATCCCCAGTTGCCTATGCTCCACTATGCACTTAGCCTAATATATACAAGAGCAAATGGCTCTTGTGTGCGTCTACTGTTGCTATGATTTACAAATTGGTCTGCATTAAATTTTAAATTAGCGTTTGAGTAAGCAGTCACAGGGGAAAGCTTTGATTTGTTAGAATTGATGTGAAAGTTAATTGAATCAGATTGACGGTATATTATTGTGTATATAAGAAAAAGTATAATTAATAGCACATGTCAATCAGTTTGCATTATTTTTAACATTAAATTGTTTTTACAATTACATAATATCACTTATTAGTATTTAATTTAAAATATTCACAATTGGTGGTTAACAAATTTTAAAGTCAGAGAACCTATAGGTTTTCATTTGAAGATATTTGGCCGACCATTCCTGTTATAGGAATTTCTACTCCACTTTTTTCTGTTGGTCTAAAGTCACCACCTGCTTTTTGCAATACCGTTAGCATAAGGTGTCTCCAATCTACGCCCACTTGCCCTTAAGAATTTCGTTGCGCAATGGATTTTGTTGTATGCGGCTCCATAGTGCTTGATTGGTGTTAAAATATATACTTAGCACTCTGCGAAGACAATGATTGGTGAAGGATTGCAATCGTTCTAAATCACAAGTGCGGACATTCTAAGTCTCACAGTCATACAGCAAAACAAATTAATATTTAATTGAAATAAACGCATGTAATGTCCAGATATTTTGAGTATTTCTTTGCTTGTTTTGCTTTTCCGATTTGGTTACTTGGGGATCTAATAGGGAAGTAAAGTGTATGTATTATCTATCTTTTCCAAATGATAACTTCTCCACTGCCTGCAAAGCTTGATCCCTGTTGTCGCTAACGAGGTCTTGTCAACCCATGTACATAAGCATTATATCCGGGTGCGATAGTCCAGTCAATCGTCCATCTTAAACTACATGATTATAGAAAGGTAAGGGATCCATATAATAAAAAAAAAATTATTTAAGATTATGATTAAAATAATAAAAAGAAATATAATTTTAGGAATACCTGAATAATGGAACAGTGCTTAAAAAGCTGTAAAATTTCTATATACATGCTTATAATGTTATATATACTATCGAAATGGGTTTCACCCCTGGAAAGTGAGTCATATCGGTTTCAAGTTTCTTCTCTCCTTGACATAGTCGATGTGCTTCAATTTTATGTAGATCTGACTGTTGGCAATGCCAATCAATTACTGTGTCTTGCATACATTAACCCAATTTCGAAAAGAATGCAAATCGCACTTTAAATTGCACGCATACATAACTACAAAATCACATTAAACAAAAAATAAGTAAAATAAATAGCAAAGAGAACTTCGCAAATTTTAGAATTCTTGGAATTTTTATTGACTTTACAAGCCTCACTTCGACGCAAAGTGTATGGTATGTGGTATGAAATTCAGATGACCGATCATAAAAGTGTTGTGACTCAATGCATATGAATTGAAATTCTGATCACGTTCTCACATAAGTAGATCAGTGTGAAACCGCTACAAAGAAGTCTTTTGAACAAAACCATATATTGAAACCAATTAAATCAGGAAACAATCAGCCCGTGTGATTATAGTACTTATGTTAATCAATGTGTGTTAAAGTCGTTAAATTTAAAAGAATCTCGATTGCTCTGAATGCATAGTAAACCTTTATGAACCACTTCAACACTTCTGTTGTCCCATTAAGTAATGGTTCTATTTACTACTTACAATGGTTAATCAATTTTATGATTCCGCCAAACAAACTCTTTTCATTCAAAACTTTCTACATAAATTGGGGCTACTCTCTTGCGATCATTGAATGCAGTGTCAACGTTCAACCACAAATTCTATTTAAACAATTCAGACCCACTCGCCACATGTGACCATTAAATGCGAGTATTTGACACAATCTTTCACATTCCTGCATTCAATTTAAGCGGTCTCAACGACATCGTGGCACAATAAACGGGAAAATGGTCGGGTTTCTATTACTAAAGTGGCTGCTGGCCGAAAAGTCAACGCAGCACGCAGCTCGTAGCACTCAGCTTGCAAGTATTGGCTCGCCTGGCGGCCCACTAGTGGGCATTTATGCCTCCTGCAATTAGCTAAATTGGTGGCAATGCTGAGTGACATGTGGTTTTGCGGGTGAGTGCGAATAATTTCGCACTCATTTGCGTTTTTAACGCCTTCAATTCTCTGCTTATCGACAGCCAACATAGAAGTCATATTTATTTGCGAGCTTTTTAATTGAACGTGATTGAGCAACAATTAATTGTAACCCAGGAATATTGCACAATTTATAGTTCATAGAGTGTTGCCAAGTGAAACTTAATAGTTTCCGTTTAATTTGTATGGTGGTTGTGATGTGAAGAAAAGAAATTAGATAAAAAAACAAACATTCAATAATCAGTTCTGTATATGCATAAAAGTAAATAAACGAAAGAGTGACCAATGACAATGTGGACTTCGGCGGAAATAATTGAGCAGAATCGATGTTAGATGATCATCCTAAATATAATGATATTATGACTAACATCAATAAGAAGTTGCAAGGTCATCTGGAGTTAAAATGATATGTTAACACTGGATCAATAATGAATTCAAAAAAGTCCTAAAACTGACTCTTGTAATATGATGCAAGAAAATGCTGGAAGAATTCGATCATGAAGGTTTAAAAGCAGATTTATACATAAAATTCTAAACCAACAACTACAAACCACTGTTTGGAAAACTAAAATCTAATAGAACTTTTCATTGGCAGCATTTTACTACAATAACATCGTAAACGAAAAATGATATGTTATAAAAACATCATAAATCATAATAATTTAGTTAGGGATTAAGGCGAGGAAGAATACTATTTGAAAATTACCGAACCAAAGGGAATATTATGATTATAATCATCTTACTGTCATTCCTTAAGGATTCATATCCACTGTTAAATTTCAAAAAATAATTTTTTGCATTTGCATAGATATCGAATGTACTTATATATGTATGTATGTATATTTGTTATTTAGAATTTTCTCCGAAATTTTGAAGCTGATCCGAGAAATTCGATTCGGAGGTATGAGCGTATTTGCAAGAATTTTTTAACTTAACGCTGCTCGAAACGCTGTTCTCAGAGTCGGTGAAAATAATTTCTCTAAACGGCTGGACCAATTGGCAATCGGACTTTTTGGATATATTTTTTTATGATCGAAGGAGAAATATTTTTGATATTAATATGAGCATTTTCTTTGAAGTGGACTCGCCTTTTTTTGGAAAGCCGTTATTTTGTCAAAAATCAAAATTTTGACTTTCAATCAGTACCTGAAGTCATCTATGGTAAAATTACATTTTCCTGGTTTTGGGAATTCAGATAATTTTTAGTAGAAAAATCTGCCTCACGGCCATACACTATTTTTCGGCTGTCGGAGTTCCAAAATTTTTTTAAATGGGTTGCCGATTATTAAAGTATATTGAATTCTGTAAATTTATATTTTTTTATTTATGTAAAACCCCATATTTGATGTCATCGCATTTTGAAACTGTTGAGGTCTGGTTTTACAATTTTTTACTAACAATGACAAGTCATTGTTAAAATTCTATGATATCAAAAAACATGAGTACCATAATGCCATTGAAGGTTTTTTTGTGACCTAATCGCGCTAAAATTCGTAAGAAAATATGGGAAACATTTGTCTTAAAGAAAGTTCCTTTTTATCCATATAATATATTTCCTGGATTAAATCAAATGTACTGGGAATGTTGTCTATATTTATTATATTTTCTAAAGCACATTTTCTGAATATTTTGGTTTACTCTTCTAACTGGTTACCCATAATATTGTATTTTTTTATTATCTGTTTTTTTAACAACATAAATTATATAACCTTTAGACAACCCATACTATATATATAAATAATATAATATTCCATATCATTTTTCTTTTAGGTGGCCAACTAAAAACAAAAAATGGACAAAAATATGTATTCAACGGTCCACCCTCGGGCATTTACGTGACCAGAACATGCGTATTCTTCACTGCGATAGTGACGGTTGTGGCGCTCATCTTCACCATACTCATCACATATTTCTTGACTGCGAGCTCAGTAACAACACCTAGGTGAGTATCAAACGCAATATCAATCAATACACACCACTTTGCAACGCATTCAAATGTGGCGTTGTTTTTGCTGTTTCATTACGGTTTGCTGAATACCAATTACAAAGTCAATCGACAATATACGAACCACACGCGATTCGTACGAATGCTGAACAATTTGTAGTTTGCTATTTTACAATTTCATAACACGTGACCGCAACAATCACTGTTGCAACACCCATTTATGACTTTATATATAAGTATATAGGAGAGTATTGATATCATTCGCGGCATTTAAACTGAAGAGAAAAGTGTGAGAAGTGAAAATTTTCATCATCAACTATGTTATACAAGTATAATACTAAAATCCAAATCAAATTGGATTTCTAGGGTGTGTTCTTTCCTTTTACATATTATACAGTTAACTTAAATGTTTTAGCGCATATTTCTTCTTTTATTTTACGTCATTTCTATTTAATTAAGTTGTAACCTCGATTGGACAGTTTATGACATTTAGGGTTAGTCACTTTCTGGAAAAGGTTGGTTGTTGTTTGTGGGTGCTAGTTTTGGCTTTCATTTTGCATACACTTTAGTTTTAGCTATTGTTAGGGTTGTGAGTATTAGTATACAGAAGTAAATTGAATCAATTGACCCACATTTTCGATCACTTTTCTTTGTTTAGCCAAGGTAGCGAAAAATATTGTTTCCGGTGACCAAAATTAGGCGTGTACTTTTGCACAAATATCAGTAGCGATTTAGCAAACAAGAGGAGAAAGTACACATAAATGGTTGGAAAAGAGTAATTACTATAACTTAATTGACAGGATAATGAAATTGTGATTTTGTATGGAAGAAGTGCTTCCTTAATAAACGCAAATAAATTAAGCAAAATATGAAGCCAAGGTAAAGTAATAAACAGGGTAAGAAAGCGAAATATCAGACACTCTATCAGATTGTTTAAGAAAACTTATCCAATTAAAACATAAACGGTTTAAAGTCAGGTGGAATGTCGGAAATTACTACACAGGATGTTTAAAATTCTGACACACTCTCACAATTTCATTACGATAACTTACTTATTGGCCGATATATGCGGTGTAAAGTCAAAGTGGTTCGAAAATCTTCATACATATGTGAGAGGTATTGTCGCCATTTTCACACCGTAACATGAGCATGTCAAGGTAATCTTATATACCGAATTTGGTTGAAATTGATTAAGCAAGCCCTGAGATATGGGATTTCACTTGAAGATGGGCGGTGCAACACCCATGGTAAATTTTTGACGCCGACTCTATAAAGCCCTTTGTACCATCCCGAGTGTAAAATTTAATGTTTCTGACTCATTTATTTATTTATTTAAAGCACTTTTAGTAGTTTTTAATAAAACCGTTATATGAGGATTGGCCGGGATTATATTTCGTTTATTTACAAAGTTTTATCAAGATATCTTAGTTTTTGCACAAGCTACAGTCACCCTGATTTCAACTCTTCTCGTCATCTTGATCGTGTATATGTATATATATATATTTATTTTATAACTCTATATATCTCGATTAGTTTTAGGTGTTACAAACAGCCATTAGGTGAGCAAACTGCTCTGTAGCAGCACGTTGCGAGAATATAAAAATAATATAATAGTAGTTCTAGCTTGAAGTGTCTTTATTCCATCCGATGAACTGGGTTGAAAGCTATTTGTATTAAGTCTATAGATATTCGTTCATGTACAACGGTAATTTAGATAGAGCAAAAATCTAAGAATCACATGTGCGGATAATATCGAAGCCTAATGCTTCTACTCAGTGTGAAAGATGATATAAAGTACACAGATACAAACTCTCTTGGCTCTTATCTCAATATCAATCTTAAAGAAAATTTTCCATTCCAGCTGCTTTAATGGCAACTCAAATAAGAACTCACCACCTTTGGCTCTGTCCTCCAATTCGAATGGCCAACAATACAACACCACATCAGTGGCGACGGCTAGCATGCTCGGCACGGCACCACATACCGCCAGTCCCATATCGAAATATGGTACCACACCACCAATCGCGCCAATCGGTGACATCAGCTTACCGCCAGAGCATGACATTCTCGGTGCAGACAAGAGTAAATCAGCCGATAGGAAATTACAACTGCACGACGGTTGGAGACCGCTCCATTACAAGTAAGTAATCAAAATCAAGAATAAAGAAAGTAATAATTCTTAAAATTTATTATAATTTTATGTTTTTATTAATAATTGTGTATTACACACATATTTGAAGTGCATATTTCAACAGCTCGTTAAGTCAATTTAACGCTTTTATTTGCCATTAAAATGCCATACTTTTAAAATGACATCATTATTTGTAAATATTTGAAATGTTAAACACGCAATACTGTATCAGTGTTCCAGATAACCGAGTTTATTTGCTTAGTTTGCAGTTGTGCAAACTTTTAAAATTATTTGCAAAAAATGCAATCAGCTTAAAAATTCTGTAAAATGTTTAAAATCTTTTAAAGGCTGACTTAATTTTTGCTTTAAGCGAACTTCTTCTCACTTTCGTTCTCCGAATCCCTATTAGCCTTTATTTAGTACGTTTTTTCATTGCAACGATGGTCTTACTCTCCTTCTCCCTACCATATGTGGAATGAACAGTATATTTCTACGTTAAAAACCATTACAGCTGAAACGTGTGCGTTCATTAGGACGTAACTGTTAAATTGTTCACTTATACCATCAAATTTGATTCGGACTGACAAAAAAAAGCAATTATCAATAGGGATATTTAAACTGAATATGTTAATCTGGTGATTCGTTAGTTGATACTCAAAACACTTCACTGTGAAGATATTTTGCTTTATCTTAGTGTGGTAAATTTTGTTCCAAAACAGCTTATACAATTTTATTAAGAACTTACATTTGAAAAAATGTGTTTAAAATTATCTTGTAGCGAGCAGCAATATTAATTAAATAAACTTTTAAGGCAACGACGTAAAAAAAATAGCTGATTTGATGTTACCAAGCAACGAAAAAATTATCAAACTTGTCAGAGTACTTCGTTACTCGGTAGAACGATAATCTGTTAACTTTACAAAAACCAAATTCACGTAAAAAAGTATCGAATAGCAACTAATGAATTAAGAAAGCTGGTGTGACTACCCCTAATGTATTTTAATACAAATCATTATTGCCGCCTTAAAAAACGCTACTTTTGAACCAATACAAGCATGCTAACACTTAAGTGGAGTGTCTGACTTGTTGGCCCGAAAACCTAATGCTTTTTCTGGAATTTTTTTCTCGGAAAGTATAATAAGTGAAAGGAAGAAATTTTCTCACAGTTGTCGGAAAAAAGTTAGATGAAGCTTTACTTTAAAATTTGTCCTAGCGTCCAAAAATAAAATTAAAAAAATGTCATGCAATTGCTCAATTTGGCGTCTTGTAGGACTTCCATCAACTAGAAAAACGCTCCAACAAACGGCCGATTACTTTCGTAGTTTAACAGATTTTAATTCGAAACATATTCTTGAAACATGTATGTATTTGAATAAGCAATAATATTAAAAGTGATTGTTTTGATCTCTCAAGGTAGAAACCCCTCTTGATGCAACTTTTCAAACACTTGTTATAAGGACTTCAGTGCCTTCAGCGAATTTTGGTAGAAACCCTTACTTAATCCAATTTTCCATACACTTGTCATAAGTGTCAGCTGTTATGGATTTCAGTGCAGGATAAGGATGCCTTTGATAAATGTAAGGTCCTCAGCTACGTTGTCAGGCATATCTTTTGCGACCTCTATTAAAAAATTCCGGTTTCCGGTCAAACAGCTGGCAAACACATACAAATTGACATATGAAGATCAACCATCACACGAACATAAAAAAATGTTGAACCAAAAAAATAAAAAACATTTATCGATTCAGTTGCGCTCGCAGTTTAAATGGACGAGTCCGAATGAAATTTGATTATTTGATAGCTAAAGGGTTCTTATCTTTGCTCATGCAAAGATTCGTAAATCATTCGTAAATAATTCCTCTGTAACATCTTAAGATAAACTCTTAAGAGGAATAAGGGTTTTGTCCAGGGCAATATTTTTTGGTGGCTTATAAAGTTTGATTTGGTATTCAATTGTATAAATACTGCAAAACTTGGTAGCAAAAGTGATTTCACGTCATCTGTTAAAACTACATTCTTTTAGTGGAATGCTAGGAGCATGATAGGCGATTTTTTGCAACTTCGAAATTATGACAGTTGCGAGTATACTTCAACTAAGTAAAGAGTGTAGAAAATTTAACTGTATCTGAAAATCACACATGTTAGTCAACTACTAACACCATATTTACTATTAGCATCAAGACCCTGGCCGATTTGAAAATCCTGATAACTGTTAAAAGTATAAGAAGTAATTTCGTTATAATTTATAACACTCTTCGGTACATCAAATTTCTGAAAAAAGTCCGGAAAAAACGTTTAATCCAATTATGACCTACTTAATAAGGCTATCAGAACCAAATATGTAAATAAGGCGGCAACACCAAGCTCTTACATAATTCACAGCAAGAAAAGTAATAAAATACACCACAGTAGAATCGTTCAGATCATAAACACCGGTATCTAAGTAAAAACTAAATCCAGTAGCACCAACTCGTCAAATGAGCTCAACAGCCGTCACTCGAAATGCAACAACAAAATACTGCGAATTACTACACAGCAACGATCTGAGCGCATAGATAAGAAAGAGAAATGTTGCCAACATCCACAACAAGAAAAGCTCACAAAATAACAAAACAAAACCGTTAACAAATAAAATCAGAATTACAAAAAAAAAACAAGCCGCAAACAACTAAAGCGACGATAACAAAACGAGATATCAAACAACTCGGCATAAAGCGACAGACAGTAGCAACCGGCACTTACTTTTGCCGCGTGCGCGCAACTATTGTTGCACTAACGGACGTGGCGGCACTAGCATACAAAAAAAAAGCAAACACACCGCATGCATTCGTGCAATTGGCACACAAACGAGCGTCATTAATATCGCAGATGCACGCGATGCCACGCGTTCGGAATGCGGTGCGGCAGCCCGTGTGAATTGAATTGACTTGAATAACCATGCAGTTGAAAAGCGCCAGCGTCGCAATAGGAATCATAAAAAAACGGTTGGACGGACCTGCGATGACGTTGAGCGGCCGACAGCGGCGTAAATCGAAGGCGTTCGGACCAACGCGCATCAGTTGAGACAGTTGAGTTAAGAGTTGCACTATTGCCTTGTTGTTGTGCTGGTCAAATCATTGTTGCCTCTTGTCTAGTACATGTTGATCTCTACGCTTGTGGTCTCGGCGCAGTTCTTGTGATCGTGCCGCAACGCAACGCGTCAGGCCACAAGTGTAATCGGTGATCAGTGTAAGAAGTCTGTTGGATATATGAAATTGTGGCATGACAAAGCAGAATGTTGCATTTCCTGGTTTACAGCAATTATTTCAAAGCGTGCGAAGGAAAGCGATTGTCACTCAATCGTATTGACTTTGTGCGCTTCGCTCGCTAATCGCTCCCTGTTGGTCGTTGATCGGTTGATCGGGTTAGAGGTGCAGAAATGCGTTTGTCGTGAGGCTTTCGGTTCTAATTCGATCTTGCAATGCGAGAGCAATCAAAATATTGCAAAAATAACCAAACATGTTGATGGCAGCTGGTTTGAAGTTAAACTTGTGTGCGGCACGAGCGTCAAATTGTATGTAATAGCGGTATTCAACGGTCCATGTCCCGTTACGAGCGTTTGTTTGCTCTTGCTCTCGTGCTCTACACAAATTATACATCGCCATCTTATTTAAATGTGGGGTTGTCTAAAAGATTGCTTCTAAATAAAAAAATCAAAATAGTTATTTAAATTAAATGTCATTAACAATATTCGGTCCGAACTGTCAATTTAGAACTCAGAACAAAAAATTAAAATGGGGCTTATTTAAAACATACATGAAAACATACAGAAAGCTTTCAAAACCTTGCCCGTTCTTTCTATGTCACAGCAATCGTCGAAGACGCCGAAATATAGGCTCCAAAAATATGGGGCCGCTCTCTACAATAAAGTTACTCGGTTAATGTAATTACTAGTATCATCTACTGTACTTTTATTCAAGAATCCAACGGATGAAATGATGTATGGAATACATCCTAAGCTAAATATCCTAAATAATATGGATGTTAATAAAGGGTAGTCTCTAAGAAAATGACTTGGTAGCATAGCATCCTGCCTACTCTGTTCGTCCATCCCCTTGACATAAGTTTCCTACAAAAAAAAATCCACTTATTTAGCTCAGTTTATTTTAGAATCGACGCTGCCCTAATCAAAACAATTGAGTTAAAGGACACACCCAAATTAGATTATCAAAGGTACTAAATTGCGTAGCTTAGCAGTATAACAACTCGGAATCACGTACATCTGTTATTGATAAGAGATACATATGTTTTGAAGATTGCGGACCATCTGACTAAGACAAAGGCGGACACAACCGATAGGACCGGATACATCTGTACAGCTACAAATTTAGGCAGCTTAAAGCTGTGTACTTTGGCACTGCAGTGAGTTTACAAATGCTCAAAAGGGAAACTTGATCGACGGAAAACTGTTGGTTCTGCGACCTGAGGCGGTGAGACCAGATCATCTATTCCTTGAGCAAAGTCATCGGATCGAAGTATCCTCAAAGGAGTACGTCACCTCCATTAACCGTGCTTGTTAGGCTTCCTTAATGCGATTTGGTTGCATAAGTTAATGTGAGTGAGGAGAGGATATATGAGTACAAGAAACCAAAAGTCGCAAATCATATGTATACATATTCCATATAACCCAATATAAATACCCTCCTTAGCTTAACTTGACTTAAACTCTTTTAGCAGAAACATTAACAAGCATATTAGCTCCATATTTTGCAACATTATCTATATAAATTTTCTTTTTCAAAGCTGACAGTTGACAGTGCCAGATGTCTGACGCGTTGCGCCCAAGCTCGTTAATCAGATACTCACTCGTTGCGTTTAATTTACGACACTGAGAGCAACTGGTAATTGATTTAATTAGGAAAAGCGCGTATGGCAAATATAAGTTGAAGAATCAAGCATTTTTCTATCTGATACAGTTGTATACATGTTTTATTACGATATAATAATTTGAAATTATTTGCGCATTGCCGTACACCATATGACTACTGCTGTTAATTCTCTCATACATTAATTCAATGCTTAATGAAAATCCGTTACGACTTTTAATTGTTGCAAATTTGCAATTGTATTGTTATTGTTAGTGGTGGCGCCTGGTGTTTCCTATGACTCTATCGACTATTGTTGGCTAGTTGCTCTCACTGATGATCGCATGCACTGAAGCGGATTTTCAAAGCTTCCAATAACAGACGGTTCTATATTTAATGACGTTTGTCATTAGGTTTATATACACGAATAAATATGTACAATTGTACGTATGCATAACGTCGATAGTTTATTCGGCGTCATTGCTTTTATTGATTTATGAGCTAATTGTTAGTGTAGGTGCCAAGATCGCTGTAAAATATCGTTTTGCCTTTCTAAGGGGCTGAGATAAGTAAATTGATACTTAATATTTCCATACATTACATAGTATACATATCGACATAAATAAACACATTTGCTTATTTCCATTAACATTTATTAGCCAACATTACACAGAAGCTACAGGCAGGTCTGCTTATTGCAATTTTTATCTTAATTGAATTAAATTAAAAGAAATGAAGTGGTTTTATAAAATGAACATAAAACTTTTTTTTTGAATAGGTAGCATATAATAATACTGTGGTCATACCTTTACAATCTGAATAATAGACTTTTGTTTTTTGAGAAGTTGCCACCCGACTTAAATTTTTTTCGAAAAAATATACTACTTGAACAAGATTGTGAATATATCAGTCATGTTTTCAAAGGTTTTATATAACAGGTGGTACAACCGTTTTTAGCACCAGCCAGGAAAGCAACAACAAAAGTATTTAACTGAATTTCATACGTCAGAAGATGTAGATACATCACAAAAGTGTCATGAACTCTTTTTATCTGACTCTATTTGGTTATACTATTCTTTTTGACTTAAACGAGTTGCTTGTTCGATTCACCACACTTTAAGTTTTTGTTTCTAACAAAGACTCCCAACTACAGATAAATTTATCGTATATATTCTATTGTGACTACGTCTATCGCCATTATGAAATAATGGTGTTGCCACCTAATTAAAAAATTGAAATATTTGTACAAAAATTAAATTTAATATAGAATAGAGTTGGAGAATTATGAACCGAAAATTCATAATAAAAAAATTTTTTTGATTGTTTAGATTTTATTTGTCTAGTAAGTTTAATACCGCTATTATATTTAAGTATAGAGTTTGAGTAAATTAACTTGAAACTTTCAATTATTCTTGAAATTTTTGAAACTAAATAAATTTTTAACGTATTTTTGAAAAGTTGAGCACTTCGGCTTGATAATACTTAAATATTGATCCCATTTTCTCACTCATTTTCTTCAAAATTAACAAAAATTATTATTTAATCATCTAAAAAACATAATTTTCGCACTTCCCAGCATTGTAATTGAGCCCAACATTAAAACCGCCTCCAACAATGGTAGCATTGCCATTGAGGTACAACGCGATGCCAATATCCCTACTCTGCTTCCGATTATTCTTGATGTGCACAATATTTCCATTTCGAATGTGCGCGTTATACGCTCGCTTAGCAATGTCTCAGCAAGCGATGAAATCGAATTGGATTTCGATGGTAAATATGGAGAGAACAACTCATCCTTTGTGGTGGCCATAATTAGAGGTATTGAGGATGAACGCGATGTCAAGTTAATTGTAAGCATGGATTTTGTCAGTCAGATAACCGACACGCTTCAAGGTGTGTACAGAACAAGCTATACGAATTTGGAAACCAATAAAATCGAGTAAGTAGAAATGAAGAAAGATTTTTATGCCATATATTAATAAGATATATATTATACACGTCGTTCCCTCTCCAAACTTCTTTTTTTCGACAGATGGATGGTCAGCACGCAATTCTCGCCAGTCGACGCTCGCCGCGCATTCCCTTGCTTCGATCGTCCAGACATGAAGGCGAACTTTACCATCACTATTATACGTGATGATAAACTCGGCATGGCCTTGTCTAATATGCCACTCTATCGTAGCTCGTGAGTTTCCCTTCTTTTGTCATAACTCACAGTTATATAATACAAATATTTTAAATCTTTCTTGGTTTTAGTGTTCACCGACCAGGCTTTACGCGCGATGATTTTGTAACATCACCGAAAATGCCTATCTACAGCTTCGCCTTTGTCGTTTCAAATTTGGTGAAATCTCACTTCTCCGACTTGGATGCAAATCTAGTTCCGCGCGTAGAGATTTGGACCCGCCCCGAAAATACTGAAATGACAAATTATGCCTATTCAATGCTGCGAAAGTTCTTGCCCTACTTCGAAGATTATTTTGGCATAAAGAACCGTTTATCGAAAATCGATATGGTATCGATACCTGATTTCGGTTTTAGTGCTATGGAAAATTGGGGACTAATTACATTCAGGTTAGTTTACCAAATATTTGATATGAAAAATCGATCTATCATTTAAGCGTTTTTGCACAAATTTAAGTGAGTATGGTTTGGACAGTACTTACATTATACCAGCTTGCCTCTCTTTTCAATGTTGTTTTAAAATACCTTCTGAAGCTTCTCAGCTCACTTATACAAGTACTTCCTATAACTTTCTGATATACACTACTTTACAGAGTGTTGGTTTCACTGAAACTTTGGGATGAAATGAACGTCCACGGAAATATTTTTTAGTATCTCAAGTCCACCTTATATTCGAAAATCATTTTCATAAGATTTATATAAGTTTGTTTCTGAGATTTTCATCCATTGCATGTGTTGCACCTAACCGAGGTGCAAATGCAGCAAATAAATTCCTCTGGGCCCGGGTAGAGATTATATAAAAGTCGATAAATATTAGGCTCCTATTATTAATATCATCTTACAAAAAGGGTATCTTTTGTTATCAGGTGCACGAAAAAAGCCAAACGGAAAGCCGAGAATCTGGAAAATAAGTATTTCGGTATAAAACTGTCCAACATTTTAAGGCGATTTAAATACCTCTGTCTTACAACTGCCATTACTTAAACTCCGTATTCAAACCCGCTTAGGGATATCAGCTGGTATTTTTTTAAAAATCAATCTACAAGTATTACAGGAATATAATAAAGTTAAAGCCGATCGATCTGCAATATTTGATTCTAAAGATTAACTCTTGAGAACTATTGAATCATGGGTCCTATTCCCTAAAGTTGGTGAAATAATTTGGTATACCGCAAAATTTTGGCGCGAGCATAGAATTTTATTTAAAGTCTACACAATTTCTATAAAATTAATATATTCTTATAAACTTGTAGAGATTCTGCTCTCCTCGTGCCTGAAGATCTTGATCGTGCTTCTTCATCTGAACACATGGAGCACGTTGCCCAGATTGTCGCACACGAATTGGCGCATCAGTGGTTTGGTAATTTGGTCACACCCAAATGGTGGGATGATCTTTGGCTGAAGGAGGGTTTTGCCTGCTACATGAGCTACTTGGCGCTGAATACAATACGTCCTGAATTCCAAATTATGGACACTTATACAATCTACGAATTCGGCGATGCCATGCAACATGACGCGGACAACAGTTCTCATTCCATTGCTTTCGATGTGAAATCAACAACGGATATACGTCGCATCTTTGATCCGATCACCTATTCAAAGGGTAATATACTTCTGCGTATGTTGAGCTCATTTGTGGGCGATGAAGCCTTCCGTGCAGCAACACAAGATTTACTGAGATCTTATGCTTATGATAATGCCGATCGTGATGTGTTGTGGGAATTTATGACACAACATGCGCATGAGCGTAAGACCCTGCCCGATAGTCTGCAAGTGAAAACGGTTATGGATTCATGGATAACGAAACCTGGTTATCCCGTAATAACGGTCGAGCGTCGTGAAGCTGATCTAGTGCTAACCCAAGAACGTTATATGTTGCCATCGCGAAATATGTCGGATGACAGCCGTTTCGTTATACCGATCACCTTCGAAACGGATGAGCTACGCAAAGGCGACAATATACCCACACATTGGATGTTGGAAACTGATCGACAAATTGTCATAAGCGATGCCTTTACCTCGGAAAATAACACAGAGAATGTGGTTTATGTGAATTTGAATCGCCAGGGCTACTACCGCGTCAACTATGATATGCCCTCTTGGTTGGCATTGAAAAAGAAGTTCACCACGTTGCCGCGTATCACACGTGCACAACTTTTGGATGATGCTTTACACTTGGCGCAAGCCGAGTACTTGACCTATGACATACCCCTGACTTTCCTTATGGAGATCTTCACAGCCACCGATGACGAGCTACTGTGGCGTGCAACACAACGTGGACTCAATTACCTTATCTATATGCTGCATCGCGAGCCAGCCTATGAGACATTCAGAGTGAGTAAAACTATTTTTTGAAATTAAAATTTTTTATAGCAACCTATTTCATACAGGCTTTTATGAAATTCATTGTACGCCCCGCCTTCGACCGCTACGGCTTGAATGAACCAGACAATGAATCACACATACAACTACAACATCGCGCCAATATTGCGCGCCTCGCATGCAAATTCAACTACGATCGCTGTACAATGCCAGCGCACCGGAAGTATCGCGAGTGGATGGCCGATCCCAAACTCAATCCGTATGTACCTATAGTGTCCAACTCTTTACATTTTTAATAAAAATTTTATAAAATAATTTTTTTTTTACAGCATTAAGCCAAATCTGAAATCGATCATTTATTGTACGGCGCTCGCCGAGGGCTCTTTCCAGGAATGGTACTTTGCCTACAAGCAATACAAACGCACCACAAGCGCATCCGAGAAGGAGCAGATCTTGACCTCTTTGGGCTGCACCACAAAACCGTGGCTGCTCTCCAAGTACGTAATGGATCGACATATCATTGAATTTTATACACATATTATATATATATTTTTTAAATTTATTATTTACTCTCACTCGCAGATATCTAAATATGACCATTGATCCCACTTCTGGTATATTAAAGCAGGATGGCGCTCGCGCTTTCCGTGCCGTTGCTGAGAACCCGATTGGTTACGAGATTGCATTCGATTTTCTGCAATCGAAAATCAATGAAATCTCTGAATAGTAAGTTGAATATTTTTCATTAATAGATAAATTCTCGTCAATAAACGAAGAGATTTAAATAATCTTTTCGAAGATATGAAATCTAGTGGCGCTTTTACAGTCATCGTCCGTCCGTGCAGGCGCGGATTTAAAACTTCTTTCGTGTCATAGTTAGAGCAATATCAATCCACATAATAGCATAGGGCGATAACGTAAACTATGTCATTATTTCCAAGTGTGACCTAGCAAGATAAGAGTAGAATTATTGACCATAGAATTTAAAGAAAAAGTCAAGCTCCATTAATCACTCAAAACCGGACCAAAACCATTTATATTATATCTTTATATTACCTCATTTACTTAACGAGGTTTCAGTGTTTTTTTTTTTTGGTGTCCAGTTCTTCATTATTTTCATTGTTAGAGAAGGCTAATTCCTTTCTTATTTAGACTGGACCCCCAAATATGATTTCTGTGGCTCAAACCTGTCTCAACTGTTCGTTTCCTAAACAAACATTTAGACGATAACACCTAACCTCACTATAAAATTAGAAATAGTTTTCGGTCAGCTGCTTCAACCACAAATTCCTTTCCATATGTATAGACCATTTTGAATTCCATTATCTTACTTGACTACTGAATTGGGTGAAACAATTTCATACCACTAAATCCAAAAAACAAAAAGTGAAATTTTTTTTGCATCTCCAAACCTTACAATGAGTACAGAAATTTTTATAGTATTGTATATATACTAATACATATGTACTTCGAAAATCAGTGCTTCGTTTCATCCTTTTTATACTCTCGCAACCTGTTGCTACAGAGTATAATAGTTTTGTATCACCTAAAACTAATCGAGTTAGATATAGGGTTATGTATATATAAATGATCAGGATGAAGAGACGAGTTAAAATCCGGGTGACTGTCTGTCCGTCCGTCCGTCTGTCCGTCCGTGCAAGCTCTAACTTGAGTAAAAATTGAGATATCTTTATGAAACTTGGTAGACGTGTTTCTTGATACCGTGAGATGGTTGGTATTGCAGATGGGCGTAATCGGACCACTGCCACGCCCACAAAACGCTATTATCCAAAAACAAATAAATTGCCATAACTAAGCTCCACAACAAGATACAAGACTCTTATTTAGTATAGGGAGGGGCATCTGCAGTTAAATTTTTTTTTTAAGTGGGTTTTTTTATAGTCCCGCCCCTAATAGGTTTAATGTGCATATCTCCTAAACCGCTAATGCAATAATAACAAAATTCATTGGAAGCAAATTTTTTTAGAACCTCTACCTACAGTGTGAAAATGGGTGAAATCGGGTGGCAACTCCGCCCACTCCCTATATAACGGTACTGTTAAAAACTACTAAAAGCGCTATAAATCAAGCACTAAACACGCCATTAAATTTTATCTCTGGGATGGTATGAGATGACTTTATAGGAACCGCGTTCAAAATACTGACAGTGGGCGTGGCACAGCCCACTTTTAGGTGAAAACCCATATCTTGAGATCTGCTTAACCGATTTCAACCAAATTCGGTGCATGACGTTCTTTTCATATTTCTATGTCATAGTGCGAAAATGGGCGAAACCATTTTCAATTTCATCTGATTATTTCACTTTCCACTATGCAAATCAGGCAACAATTACTGTATCGGGATAAAACTTTGCGTAAATAATGCGATTAAAGTATGACACCTTGTGGCCAAAAATTGTCTTAATCGAACCAAAACTGTTCAAGCCCCTAAGTACTAAATATGTGGACCCCAGTGCCTATAGTTGACCTTCTACCGAAAATATCAGTCAATCCACAAAGAAATCTCAAACGAGTATACTATTTGACTTTGCGAGAGTATTAAATGTTCGGTTACATCCGAACTTAGCCCTTCCTTACTTGTTACAATATAATTACGATTCAAAGTATCAAAATATTCAACTATCTTCAATATATTTGACTAGTAATGCTTTTATGTCTATACTCAGCCCTTTTCCATATCTGATATATGGAATATTTATTTTGACATTAACATAGATGATAACGACTATGTACAAATCCATGTTATCTTAACAGAGATTTTTAAGTTACTTTGAAGCATACTTTTTGGCTCAACATGTGATTATAAACGATCCCCATTATCATAGCATTTGAATATATTTTATTCCATAAATGCATTAATAATCAAAATAAAAGGAATAAGAAAGGTCTATACTGAACATATTGTGAAAGTAGAAGCTTTATATCTTATATTGCCAATAGTTTCTGTGTGAATTCTAAAATTAAATGAATTTTGTGTCTCTATATCTAATTGGGCACAGAAAAAGGTATTTTTTTACAAACTTCGTGGCAAACTTAATATACACTGTTCAGGGAATAAAATTATTGGGGAGTATGCGATATTTTTAGAAAACATTTTCTTTATTTTTTTGGACTAGGTATATACATATGTATGGCAGTCAAAATATTATGATCCAAAAATTTAATTACATATCCTTTCTATGTAACTCTAGCTTCGGCGATGGCTTCTCCACACTCACCGAGATGATCAAATCCATCACCACCTACATGAATAAGGAATACCACAAAGATCAGCTGCAGCAGTTTGCCGATCGTGCACGAAAACTGGGTCTGACAGCAGTCGAAGAAGCCATCGGCTTGGCCATGGAGCAAGTCAACAACAACATTTATTGGCGTGAGCATTCTTACTATCAACTGAAAGACTTCCTGGAAGCGATAGTCAGCGAATTTCACATAAATATATTTTAAATAATGGGCAAGTACGCTGGTAGAGAGTAAAAATAAAAGAAATCGAAAAGGCAAACAAGCAAGAGCAGTGCTTAGGAATCTTTAAGAAAATGAGTTTGAGAGTTATGTATGTGGATGGTGTTTGATTGGGCGTGCAGTGCGCATGGAGCAGGCTAAATGAATGCGATAATTGATGTGGAATCGTACGATGTACTCATTTTCTTTTTAGTTTAAGATAGTTTACTATGTAGCGTAAGCGTGAAAGCTGTTGTTAGAGGAATTATATAACAAAGGAGCTTTAAATTTTGCGTGACAACAACAAGCAATTCAGCGTTAACAAAAAAATTCATATTGACATTGAAATTTTTGTATTTAAGCACACAATTGAAAATTATATTTTGTAATAATATGTTGTTTTGCCAACAAAGTGATATATTTGTATAAGTGAGTGTACCATATTTCCTCTGCTGAAGAAAGGAAGCCAACTTTTAACTAACGGAAAAAGAGAGTGTAAAAGTAATGTGTAAAACTAAATTAGCACAAAAGCAACGAGTATTTTGATATTTATTTTTAAGTTTAAATTATTTTTTTTTATTATTATTTTATTATTATTTTTTTATTTTTATTTATTTATTTTTTTTTTTTTGTTTTTGCCTTGTAAGATGATATTTTTAGTGTTTTTTTCGAATTTATTTGCTCATAATAAAAATTATATACTACTTACAAAAATGCGCGCCAGTATACATAAGAATTTAAATATAAATACAATCAGTGTTTAATGTGTGAATAAAATTCAAAATTAAGCAGCATTTAAAGAGGTTTTAGGCAACCCTGAGCATTTGAAAATTGTCAATTTGTATATATGCTTATAAAAAGTATTGAAATTGTATGTTGAACTTCACAAAACGGCGCGTTCATATTAAAAACACTAACTCATACATATAGTTTATACATATATATGTATGTACACGAACGATTTAAAATAACGACACTACTACATAATAATACACTATTTACCTATAAATATTTAAAAATACTACCATATAATACTTATACAACACAAACACATCAACTATACGAAAATATTTAATTTTTACAATTATAATGTCAAATCAGCAGGTCTCTATTATATAACAGATATTTTTAACATTTTTGTATACCAATTAAACTGTAAAATTAATTAGTTACGTCTACTCTTATAATCACATTACAATTTAAACTTAAATGTGTTTAAATTTAATAATTGTAGTGATGTTCCTATGTTGAAATACACGCATACACATGTATGAATGTGTGTAAAATATATTTGTATGTAAAACGAACAGCAAATAATTGCAGGAAAAATATAAACTATTTTATTAATAACTAAAAATTTGCCCAAAAGCACGACTAGCTATAAGTTGAAGCATAAAAATATAAATAATAATAATAAAATAAATAAATAATAAGAAAAAATTTAAAGTAAAAGAAAAATAACTATTTTATTAAAACATTTTCGAAAACATGGTGCATACTTACCGACGCAGTGCATTTCAATCGATTTGGAAACTAAATTTGGTTGAATGATCTAGAAAATTAGAAAAACATTAATATAACAATTTCTAACGGCACACAAAATAAATTTAAAATAAAATTACAAAGAATATTTACAAATTCAATTAACAAACTATTTTTTGAGTCACCTTTACGCATTATTTAATTATAAAGGGTTGTGTTACTTGAGCGTGGGTTTCTTCTTACGAAAATATTTTTTAATGCATAATATCAAATAACCCGTTTTTGGTTCTTCTCATGAATTTCTTATTTATATTTTGATGATTTTGGTATTTTTAAAAACTATTCGTAATTAGTTATTACTTTAAAAATCATTTTCTTACGCTAGTATGTTTAAAAAATATATGTTTGAACAGCTAGTTTTGACATTGTGAGTTAAAACACTTTTGAAAAATTGTTGTTTTTAGGCTTTCGACACAACCTTATAAATATATAGTATTTGAATCATGACTGTACCCCGGCAACCATCTTTCGCTTAAATTTTTGAGTTCCACTGCAAACTCTTAATGTAAATACATAAACAGTGTCTATATATAAGTAAAATTGGTAAATAATAAATATTTTTGGATTACAAAAACTATGCACATTTACATCGCACGTGTGTATGTGTGCGTAATAGTCACTTAAGATAGCCATTATATGAATTCAGCCTTAGATCGCAGTGTCCTTAAGCGCATACATAGCCATCATGCCATTTACACCTACAATGCACACATACCCACACATAACTGTTTATTTGTATATGTAATACAAAGCGAGTAATGTATTTTTTATTATATTAGTTGCAAACTTTCTAAGCCTTTTTAACGGTTGGATATTTATTGAAAGACATATATACATACATGCGAAAAAAAAAAACAAATAATAATAAATTTGGAAAAATAAATATAATTTATATGTAGAAATCAGACACCAAAAATATACAAGTATTTGAAGCTTTGCACTTTCAGTCTTTTAGACACACTATTCGAAACTAAATTAGCTGAGTTAAGTGTAAATGTATTCAAGCAGAAATTGTTGTGTTAAAAGAAAGTTCGTAAATGCTTCATTATCAATCAGATTTATTGTGTAATTGAATAAATGATGAAATAAATATGATGTAATATATATAAAACAAAAGTAAATGTGAATTATTGAATATCAAGGAGGTCAAACCTGGCGCGAGCATTTTCAATCAGCGATCTGGCAATACGACATCGCGGATTTTTTTCACGTTTTTTCTCATTCGGGTCACCTAAGCGTTGCTCGTCAAAAACTTATGAAGCAAAATCCCTTCAAAGAACGAAAATCGAATTACCGATCGATATTGATTCGTGATTGTAATTTTTAAATTTACGGAATTGTCTGCTTAGATTTTAGGACCGATCTTAGTTTTGCGGTAAATAGGTATATTTAAGAAATAATTTTTCAATACTACTGATAAAACCCCAACTTCTAAATTTATTTGTATATACTGCTCTAAATATGTTAATAATACTGAAATTTTTTCGTTTTTATTAATTTGAAACGATATAGGTTCACCTTCGTCTGACAAATAGTTCGTTAAAACCTTTTGACACAAAGTGCGATCCTAATGAGGTAAATATATTTACGCCACATCTTTATTACTTAAAAAAAACTTTATGAAGAACAGATTACGTTTTAATATCTAAGAACGCAACTATACACTAAGTTTTCAAGGCTTTGTAGTCTAAAGCATTTTATTCAGCTATTATTCTCTTAATCTGAATATACGTTGTAATGGTCCGATATCGGCGGTTCCGACAACTGAGCAGCTTCTTGTAGAGAAAAGGATGTGTTTAAAAGATCAGCTCGTCTCGCTGGTAATTTTTATGTTATGTTCCCGACGTTTCCTTCTGGGTGTTGCAAACATCGTGGCAAACTTAATATACCTTACATACAGGATATAATATCAACATAAACCACCTTCCGTTCGCAAAAGGACTTCGTTCGTATAGAGAACTAAGTTTTATTTATTTTTTCAAGTCGCAAGCTCCTGAATAGACGTACGAGTTTAACTACCGTTAAGTATGAAAAAAGAGTGAATTACATCCCTGAAAGCTATGTACATATATGCAATTAAACGATTGCTCGAATCGGTAGTACTTGTAATTCAGGATCCGTTGCTATCAGTTACCGACTCATTCTTGCTTGTTTAATCGATGCGACAGCAAAGTAGTTTTCGAAATAAATATTATGAGAGAATCAGTTTTTTTTTTCAGTTTGCAACAAAAAAAAAATATAATTTCCAGCAATACAAATTACATTAAAATATCTTCCCAATAGCACATAAATAACATGGATGGCAAGGAAACAAAGCGTAAGCTCATCGATAAGTTTGATATTCCAATAAATCATTTGGATTTCGCTTATATTGGCGAGTGTGAGAATGCACGTGAAATGGAGAAAATTGTACAAATTTTACGTTCCGGCGAAGAAGGTTATTTTCCTGATCTCACGACCTGTGCGGAAAATAAATTACGACAACTCAAGCCGAACAGTCGACTTTTTCGTTGCGAGGAAAAATTGCAGGGACGTGAGGCGCTCTCGAAGCAAGAGTGGAAACCGATATTCGATTGGACGAATAATATAAAGGTGAAGGACGTTGAATTGTCAGCCGCCGCTGAAAAGATGGCTAAAATAGATCTAGGCGTGCCACCAGTACGTAAGAGCGGTGCCATTAAACAGTCTGAGGAAAATAATGAACTCAAAGCAAAACCAAATAGTGGTGTGGCTGTGCCGACATCAAAAATTTCAACCGAGCGTATCAAGTCCACCGATTACGGAAAATGGGATAAATATGATGCAGATGAGGAGTGCTTACGCATGGAGTTGGCTGAGGAGCGCGTGCAGGAAGAGGTGGAACGCAAAAATCGCCTTAATAAACAAAAATCAAAACTACAATTGGAAGATGGCGACAGCACAGTTGCAGCAGTTAAAACCGTCCAAGAGCAAGAAGTACTCAGCAAATTTACCGATGTAGAACGCGAGCGGCTCGCCGAAGAGTCAGTAGCATAAATTGAAATCTGCATATAATTTTCATGATATTTTTACACATAACATTCACAGATATCGTCTGCGTGGCAACGATTATTTTCGTGCTAAGGAATATGAAAACGCAATTGAAGAATATGGACGAGCGATAAGTGTCTGCGCAGAGAAGGCGGCGCCAGCTTATAATAATCGTGCCGCAGCCAGTAAGTATAGGCTTTGTTGATAAACAAGTGAAATATTTTAGGAAGCGAAAATACTAGTCAGTTCGAGTCCAGAAATTAATAATTTTTATGCTGTGAATTATTGGTCGAAAATAAATTCGCGGTCAACCTCCAACCTTTAGAATGTTTAAACAAATTTACAAGAAGACTGTTCTTAGTTGAAACTAAATCCGGGGTTGTAGAACCGAGTACCTTGGTAGCGGTTAAGCAATTTAGAAGTGAACCGTAATGACAGTTCTTAATCGAAATTTATCCGGAGTCGTAGAACCGCTTTGGGGACAGTTTACCAATTTTAAAAGAAACCGTAGAGACTGTTCTTAGTTGAAACTAAATCCGGGGTTGTAGAACCGACCGCCTTGTGAACTGTAATAATACAAGTAAACAGTTGAACTGTTCTTAATTGAGGTGACCGTAGAGCCGATTACGTGTCGATAAATTAAGGAAAAAGCCACAAGTAATAGTAACCACCTCTTCATATATGGTATGTCCGACTAAATGTTCGGTAACACCGAAAATATGCAAAAAGTTCGATTAAAACAATCTTTTCGCTAAAATTCTTCGGTCATGTATTTTGTGAGTTGAACTCGTTGCAATACACTTTTCTAACTTTCAATACTATTATTTTAGGAATAAAACTTAAATGGTATGCAGAAGCAATTAAAGATTGCGAGCAATGCTTGCAACTGGAGCCGAACAACTTGAAAGCCCGCTTACGCCTAGCAGATGCTACATATGCTAATGGGGAAAGACAAGAGGTAACATGTTGGTCGAAATATTTTGACGAAACTGATAGATCCTCTCTTTCCCAACAGTCCTACGCCTTATATATGCAAGTTCTAGAGTTAGAACCAAAAAATGTCAACGCCTTAAAAGCCACAACACAACTTAAGAGTCTATATGGTGAATTTCCACCAGCCAATGCAACACGTTTATTTATTGAAGAGGAGAAGAGTGCAAAAACTGAGAAGAAAGAAAAGAAAATTTCCAAAAGAATGAAAACCAAAATTAATGACAAACAAACTATTGAAAACACTAAAACTATAGAGACATCATTATCCACCACGAACGTTGCATCAAACCTACCAAAAACGAAACCAAGCGATTACGATTTATCAGATTTGATTAAACCAAATCGTTTAGTTAAAAACAAATTAGCCACCGCAGCTGCAGCTTTGAGTAATATGAAACCAACGAAACAACCAAGGCAACAGCCTACAAAAACAATGGAAACTACAGTAGCAACAACATTCCCAAACGAACTACGTTTACCAAATGATGCTTCCAAAGCGAGCGGAAAAATTTTAATCCAAGAGATTTAAAAGAGAAAAAAGTCAATTAGAAAAACATTAAAAAAAAACTTTTGAAACTCACGATTCGAGTTGATGCTTGTATATAATATAATATAAAAAATCGCTTTCAAAATAAATATATATTTTATTGTCACGTTTATACACAGTTTATTATGTAACGTTTTATAAAGCGCGACACAAGCTTAAACGGACGCTCTTCAAAGTCCTTTAATTGTGCCTTGGTACTCTTCACCTGTAATTTGCAATTATTTATCTTAACTTGTATTTATACAAATAACTTCATTAAAACACACACCTGATCGCCCTCCAGTCGATTCAAAAGCGTTACGCACACGTCAGCCGCGCGTATGCCACAGTGCAAGGTCAACGCTGCAAACATTGGCGCCTCCATTTCAATATTTCTTATGCCACATTCATCGTGACAGCGTCGCAGGAAGTTTAGTTTATCGACAACGGTGTACGGCTCGCCATTTGAGTTCGTGCAAGAAGCGCCGTCGAGTCGGCCTTGACCTACGGATTGCCAAAATACGAAATTTATAAAAACAAATTTATTTTTGGATGAATATTAGAAGTGTGAACCTTCGTAGAAGCAATCTGTGCCCATTGTATTGCCTTCAATAATATCCCAGGTATTTTGCTCCTCGGTGTCTGCTGCTTCCGTGCAAGCAATTATGTCTTTACGTAATCTCTCGTCGAATTGGGCTGGCCGTGCGACGCGTTCTCCTAAAATAGCCTGCAATTATTAGTAATATAGTCGAAATCGGACTACTTGGGAAAGTAGTATAAAGCAGAAAGTATCATTTTAAATTTGCTCAAATTATTTCGCTTTACAATAGAAAAATCAAGCACCATGAAGATGTCGAGTAGTACACATTTTCAAGTCCTCTGATATTGAATATGAGAATCTCTGTGTTTATGGTTGATTTTATGCTGAAAATGTTGGTGAAGTGAACATATTTTCCTGAGAATGATCTCAGGCTCAAAATACATCAAGTCGGTTCACTAGTTCCCCTAACCCCTTTATACGATGATTTTTCTTATTCGAGTTAACTTGATACCATACAATTCGTTAGTTATGTAATAAACGTTAACATAACCCTTATACTAAATATAATACTTTTCGTTATTCTGATTCCATTTATACCGAATATATCGGGAATGCTTAATGAAAACGTGTTAAAATATTTTCACTAGTTTAGTTTAGTTTAATGCCTAAACTTCTTCTACAGTTATATTAAATTTAATCAAAATTACTGGGTTTTGATGTAAATTTTCAATTTTTATACCCTGAACAGTAACACCCAGAATCCAATATTTCCTTTTGGGTGTTACAAACTTCCATATTGGCATATTTGTCAGAAGCGCAGATATCGGACCACTATAGCATAAAGCTCCCATATTAACAGATCGACCAAAATCCAGTCCTTATATGTAAAACTTTTCTATGTCACACGATATCTTCACGAATTTTGGCACAGATTATTGTCCAAAGCAAAAACTCCGAAGAAATTGTTAAGATCCAACCACTATAATATTGTATTATATATAGTTGCCATACAAATTGGTCGGTCAAAATCAAGTTCTTGTTTAGAATTTTTTATATTTGTGAAGGGTATTATAGCTTCGATACAACCGCTTTTTTACTTACTTTTTCGAAAATTCTTTCTACTTATTTCTATTTCTAAGTCTAATATTTTTGTTGGCTATACTTGTATGCTTACAATTTCATATTCACTGAGTAGTAAGCCATTATAGCCCTTGTTAGCCACAACTACAGTGCCCGGTTTAATCCCTAGACCACCACTGGTGCCAATGCGTATAAATAGCGGATCTACACATTCGGCGTAACTAACCAATTTAATTACTTCGTGTAATACCACACTCATCGAGGAGCTGCCAACACCATGGCTTACACATAACACGCAGCCAACCTTTAAGAAACGAAATAAAATTTAGATATATTTTATATAATCCTTAAATAAAAATTATTACCATAAACCCAGCATATCTGTGGCCATCCTCGAATAAATTCCTTTCGTAATCACTACCCGAATTGCCATCGTACACATTGAAATGTATATATTTTGCCAATTCAAGCATACGCGTGTCCTTGCCACCTAAACACACCACCTGTTGAATTAATTATATCGGTAAATTAGCAAAAACGAATCACAGTATTCGTTCTCACACTCAAAAACTGTTTACGAACCTTAATATGTCCATACTGCTTTTTAATATCTGCTGTGTTCTTAGTATCCGGTACATTTACCCCTAAGTGGTATAGGAAGTCGGAAGACATTTGATCTAAGTTAGGATTTTTCGACACAGAGCTACAAAAATAGAAATTGGTTTAAAATGTAGGGATATTAAGATAAAGATGCAATCGCATTATCAAGATTTTCGAGTTAGAAGGGATTGAAAGTAGAGGGATATTGAAATGTTATTGACGAACACGAACCCACCCAACTCTGAAGAATATTAAATCAAATATACACTGAGATAAATCAAATCGAGATAAAATAGTTAACTATATAACTTTGTTATTGCTTTCCCTTACATATTATTAGCCGAGAGAGCAGAGCTGTGAGCGAGCGGAAACTAAAATTGAATCTGTATGAAATTAAATTTGCTAAGAATGAGAGAAAAAAAATTATTTTTAGAAAACAAAATAAAAAAGCTGCTCCGAAGTGGGTATTTGGACTTTTAAAGAATTTATTTTCGAAATAGTATCTTTTTTCAGTGGCAGCGAAGGAAGAATATTGCAATCTGATCTAACGTTAAAAGGGTCTAAGTTAACGGGAATCTCTCATTATTCATTATTATTGACGCTGTCGTGTTCTTCAACGGTTTTTGGTTTTGAAAACAAGATTGATCAATTAAATATTAGGACTAGAGAATGAAGAGCTTTTTTCAGAATTTTATAAGTGGGTTATATAAAGTAATTTTTGAGAGACCAAAACAACTTCTATCAGAATGCATTATTTACACAAGAGAAAGCAACCTTAAACAAATATTTATTTAGATCGGAGAAACAAATTTAAGAATCAGATTTAATTAGAAGAACATCTTCTTTAAATCTGTTAGAACAATTTATAACTAATCTGCCTGATATTTACATCTTTGCATGACCATTTCACTTACCGTTTTTGAGACATTTCGTGGAGTTATTTCTTGCTTCCGGTCTATCTGAAAATTATATAATTATAAAATAATAATAAAATAAAAATAATAAAGATTAAATTTACAACTAACAGTTATTGCTATAGTTTTTCACTTTCAAGTTTGTTCAGATTTTGTCGGGCTAGAATCAAAACTAATAACGAAGGTTCTTATGGCATTGGTCTAAAGGATAACAGCTTAACTTATGAATTCAAAAAATGTTTACTAATATTTTGACTGTACATACATACATGTTATTTGAAAATATTCTCAAAAAATTTGAAGTTGATTCGGCAAATAATAGTACGGAGATATAAGTGCATTTTAAATAAGGTTTTCACTTAGTGTAATCGTTTTTCAAAACTTTAAACGAATTGTTCTCGAAAAGTTGCTTTCAGAGTTGGTGTAAAAGATTTCTTCGTAACGGTTGGAGCGATCAACTTGAAATCCGTTCCCATAACAGTCGGGTCTACGTAACCGGAACGGACCCGGATTTTTTCCGGCCAAGGACTGTCAACTCGACAAAACTCTGCCGCTACAACAACAACGTTAACTTGAAATTTTCACATGAACTTTTTAGTTTATCTATCAGAAAATAATTGAAGAAGGAGTAATAGTTTTGATAAGAATTTCGATTTGTTAAGCCTCTCTGAAGTGTAAATTTTTCGCAAAAAACGACTTTTATTGAAAGCCGTCTCTTAGTAATAAATCAAAATTTTGACTATTCCTTCGATCATTGTTTGTATTCATGTATTGTAAAAATAATTATTTTTGGTTTACGATGTTGAGCTAATTTTAAGCAGAAAAATCTTCCTCACCGCCAGACACCTTTTTTCGGAGGTCTTCCTGGAGATCGTATACGGGACCAAAGGAAACCCAAAATTTTTCTAAATTAATCGCCGATTATGAAGGAGATTAAATTTGCGAATGTATATTATTTTCTTTTATTAACTAAATTATATTTCGCCAAAAAAAAAAAATCACAAAAAAATCCTTTTTTTTTAGTGGATAAAACCCCTTTAGAAAGGTCTAGTTCTTTGCATATTGGCGACGTTTAAAACACCAAATAGCGATGCATCCGCATAGGAAATCTTAAAAAATCACATCCCTTAATTTTATCTCTGAAACATTTTAAGATATACACAATCTAATGACGTTTCCGTCGATATTTTTGCCCCTTATACTATAAGTGATATAAGAGGTACTTAGCTGTTCTTTGATTATCAAGAACGAACTTCACTACACAATCGACAATCAATTGAAGCATTTATTGGCAAGTGCGAGATTACGCTACACAAGCTTCTAAGCAGTTATGGCGCTGAAAAATCTGTAGCTTAGGCTAACAAGTGCCTAAGATTGTTAAAATATATTGAACGTTTAGCGCTTATCGTTAATTTTTTATTATGCATATAATGATTAATACAACTTTTGTATACACCCACAACATGTTGCGCACAGTATAACGGTTTTTTCAGCATAAAATAATTTAGTTTGCCCACCTCCGATTTAATGGTATTTTCTACTAGGTAGGATTATTTAGACAACATACCAGAAACATAAAATTTTCTTCACTAAATATGTGAATTAGATCGTATATCGATTTTTTAACTAAGCAATGGGCGTGGCGTCATCCTCTCGTGCATTAAAATTTCCCTTTGAACAAACATCTTGAAATATTTATGTTCTTAAAATGTTCAATGATATACATATAATGTTTGGTTCCGCCCGAGATTAGCGCTTCCTTAATGGGTTGCTCCTTTAGTTGACCAACGGCGGAGCCAACAACTAATTAATACCAATTAATTGTTAAACTTGATTCAGGGAGAGCTCGGCACAATGTAAATTTAATGAAAATAAAATAACTGTAAATATATGTATGTATGTAAATACATAAATAATATGATAACTTTCTTATGCACAGTTAATTCTGCTTATCATTTACCGTATTTTCACTTGCATTAAAATAATTGTTATACTCAAGATAACGTCCAAGCACTTTGAATTTCAATTTAATACTGAAAAACGAATATAAGTTTGAAATGCTCGTATTGGAAACTTGCACGAATATATACATACATATGCAAATATATGTCTACACATGTATTATTAAAGACAACTCTCTTTTTACGGCGTTTGCTTTCTATTTGTTGCTCAGAAAATATATGAAAATTGTTAGAGCAAAATAATACTGAATGTGTGTCCGATAATGCAACCATTTTTTAATTTCAAATATTAAAGTCAGGGAAAAATAATTACTTTGATATTCAAAAATTAAATCATATAAATTTATAATACTAAATTTATAATACTTAATTTATAATTGCAGATGTCGAAATTTTAGTGACTCTCTGATATTTACGGTATATAGTCAAGCGGAAGTTGAAAATGTCTGTATTGGGGTTAGGAGAAGGTCTTCAATACAAAATAAAATCAAATAGTTTCAGCTAATTTTAGTAAGATAATTCGGAGATTAACCGATACATTCTGTATACAGACAACTACATAGAATAACGAAAATTAAATAATAGATTCATATTTCGGGTACCGATTTTCGACACCAAACTACATTAGCTCAGAGATAATAAGCACGGGAAATACTTATAGTTTCGGAGATATCTCAGCACTGCTATATTTTCAAGTACTGCATCAAAGATGGGTTGGGTATAAATCACTGTTTGATAAATTTGTATATATGTAAGAACATTTAAGTATCCCAATGCAAAATATGCATACTGATATGTGGTCTGCATATCTGCGATTCATCATATACGTGCATGATATTAAACGATTACTATCACATTCATATTCCTAGGTGGCGGTGTAGTCGATTTATTTACAAAGTTCTTCATTGAAATTCCAATACTGGAACGTTATTATTATTCATTTTTTAACCTCAACTATCTGAAATGAATTGCATTATTTCGAGATATAATATTTTCGCATCAACACTTCCTTATTAAACGAACTTAAAAAACACTGGGCGACATCCGCCAACTAGTTTAAATAGTTTTTGTTTTTTAGTTAGAACTTGCATGCTACTTTCTTTTAAGTACAGTTTCAAACACTAAGCCTTACGTCCTTATAACAAAACGTGGAAAGTATACCGTTCAATTTTTGGGAAAAATTTAATATCTCAATGTTATTCCACTAGATTTACATCTTATCATCATGCCTTTCATTGAGACCGATTCATACCGAATATATCATTCGGTAGGATACCCCAAGTTTCTTGCAATAAAAAGAGATAAATCAATTTAAAATTCGTTTTTAATTTATTAAACTACTTAATATAATAAAATATTTGTATATTATATATTCACAATTTAAAATTATCTTATGTTAAAAACACCATACACAACAAAGACTGCTAAAAAAGGAATTAACTGCCCTTAGTTAATTGCAACAGCATTTCGCGTACCGAACGGAATACCAGACGTTCCCATGCTTCACTATAGACCATGGCGTTTTCGGAATTGCCCCAAATAATCTGTCGCACTTCTTCCGGAGTGTGCTTTAAAGGTTCAAAGCAAAAAGGGTGCCAACTCCTGCGAACTTCTGTCTCTTGCACAAAGACTCCTTGTATGCGCTCCGGAAGTGCGTTCAAATTAATGTACGTATTGGTCGCTAACTTTAATGTGTGTATTCTAGGTAAAAACAAAAAAATAATAATTATTAAATATTTAGCAATCAATAATTAAAGTGAGCGCAGAATTATTTACTCATCCAATTGCTTAATTAATTGTTCACGGTTGTGTATAGCCTCAGCTACGCAGCGTTGAGCTTCGTTTTGCATTTCTGATATTCGCTTTTTCCAGTCGTCAATCGTTTTTTGAATCTCATTACATATTTCATTTCCCTTCTTTATTTTATTTTTTATTTTATCATATCGTGCATTTTGATCATGAAACCGCGCTTCTAAGTTCGCTAAAATTATTTTAGTAAGTTAGTACAAACGCATAAACGCATTTTACAGGGCAGGAAGCCGCACTTACCCAGGTTTTCGTGATATTTATGGCTCAATTTACTTATAGAGACTTCTCGCTTTTCTAACCCAATTTCACGATTTATCATTACTTTAATGCGTTTTCCATAATCATATTTTAACATTTTGAAGTTTATTAACAGAAATCAAAGTTTATAAACAAATAATTAGTATTAAAGCTCGTCGTTATAAAAATTATATTCAAATATGTCAAACAAACGCGATTTTGGTTAGCAAAATAAATTCAGCACTGACAGTGTATAATGTAAACAAAACATGAGCGGCATTGCCATTCTCTTTTAATTACAATTATAGCGCTGCCACTTTGCAGGCATATGGTGCTGTTTCGCTAAAATGGTTTTTTATTAGGTTTAGGTGTACTGGTGCTGAAATTCACTTATTAAATTGCTTATTGTGTGTTTAAAATTAATTAACTTAGTTTAAATTAGTTAATAATTTTTAGTATAATTAAAGACACTTCGTTTAATAAACAAAAATTTAGTACTGATTCTGACTACAAATTATAGTATTACTTGCGATATGGCCATATCGCGAAATTCTTACATCTGATTTTTACATCTTTTGCTAAAGAAGTTGGTTTCGATTTTCTGTGAAAATAATAGTTTTTGCTTTAATATTTTTAGTTTGTTTTTTATGCAATAAGTTTATTTCCATTTATATATGATCTATATGATATCTCTGCATAAAGCAAAGAGAAATAGTAAAACTTTTACAATATGAGTTCGGATAGTGATGATGACGGTTCTACCGGCCGTGGCGGTGGGGGCTCCGCTGATAGCAACGCCGGTGGTGGTTTTGGAATGGATCTGACAGGCATATTATTTGGTAATATAGACTCAGAAGGAAGGTTGATGGACGATGATGCTGGCAATGCATTCGATCCAGAATTTCGTGAGCACATATCTTCATTGTCCAAGTATGTATACACGAAAGCAGTTATTGCCGTTGTTATTGTTTTTTTCTTATGGTAATAAATATTTACAGATTGGGGCTCAACTCAATGTTGAACGAAGTAATAGATACCGAAAAAGATGAAATGGATGAAGTAGATGTTCCTAAACATCCAATGAGTGATTTTGATGCCCTAAAAGCCGGATTTACGAATAATGATGGCAATGAAGCTGATAATGAAGACGATGGTGAAATTGTCAAAGATGACAGTGCAATAGATTACTCAGATATAACAGAGCTATCAGAAGATTGCCCGCGCACTCCTCCCACACATGAACAAAGTATACTCGAAGATCTTGAAGACGCAATACCGGCCTCAAAAGTCGAGGCTTCAAGTAAGATATAATTAAATATTTAAAAAAGAACTTAAAAAATGCAAATATCATATTAGGTATAACCAAAGACGATAAGGAACTAATGCCTCCCCCGCTTGCACCTATACGCAATACGTCAAGCAGCAATAATGTTGACAGTGTTAAAACGAATGGACCGGACGGTGCCAATGGCGACACAAAATTAGATAAACGTATGTTTGCAAGGAAAATTATCTCCCGCCAAGTTTTTATTTTAGTAATTTTTTTTGTGTTATTACAAATTTAGCGACAGAACGCAAGTTGGACACGCCCTTAGCAGACATGCTGCCATCCAAATACGCCAATGTGGATGTGAGAGAATTATTTCCGGATTTCCGTCCCGATAAAGTTTTGCGTTTTTCACGACTTTTTGGGCCGGGAAAACCCTCAAGCTTGCCACAGATTTGGCGTAGTGTGAAGAAAAGAAGGCGACGACGAAAGCACTCACGGGATCAAAAAGTACACATTTTTTGCACTAAAGTATTCAACATCCTTATTTATTTATGTTGATCTTTTAGAACCCGAATGCCGGTTCCGATTCCACAAGCGATTCAGAAGAACCGAAGAAAAAAGGATTCGGTCTGCACTATGGTCCGGACCCAATGCCATATCATTGCGTTTCCGATGACGAGGACAAATTATTAAGCATTACAAATAATGAAGATGTCAAACCAGAGGGACTTGAGAGTGGTGACAATAGTGATAGTAAACCCAAAATCGCTGACTGGCGTTATGGACCGGCACAAATTTGGTATGATATGCTGGAAGTGCCCGATTCTGGAGAAGGTTTCAATTACGGATTTAAAACAAAACCATCCGGTGCGCCACAAAAAGGTGGCGCAATAGACTCACAAGCATTAGTGCCAGTGGAAGAAGATGAAGACATCAAAGGTGAACCCGTTGCTGACGATGCATTCTTGATGGTTTCGCAACTGCATTGGGAAGATGAGGTTGTATGGGATGGCAACGATATTAAAGCGAAAGTACTGCAGAAATTGAATTCAAAAACTATCGCAGCAGGTTGGTTGCCATCAAGTGGCTCGCGGACAGCCGGTGCCTTCAGTCAACCGGGCAAAACAATGCCCGTATCGGGAAACACCGTAAGTGGCAAAACGCAAGGTGGATCGTCTTCCAGCAAAAAGGCTAATCAGGTGTATGTATGAAATTAGCGATATTTTCGAGAAATAAGTTTAATTAAAAATTTGAAATAAAAAATATTTCAGCATACAAAGTAAAGCACCCGAAGCAGTGGACGACACCTGGTACAGCATCTTTCCGGTGGAGAATGAAGAATTGATTTATGGCAAATGGGAGGATGAAATCATCTGGGATGCCGAACAGATGACCAAATTACCAAAACCCAAAGTGCTCACGCTTGATCCGAATGATGAGAATATTATACTCGGTATACCGGATGACATTGATCCATCGAAAATTAGCAAAAATACGGGTCCTCCACCGAAAATCAAAATACCACATCCACATGTTAAAAAATCGAAGATTTTGTTAGGCAAAGCAGGTGTAATCAATGTGTTGGCCGAGGACACACCGCCGCCACCACCCAAGAGTCCAGATCGTGACCCATTCAACATTTCAAACGATTCGTAAGTTGTGCATAAATCTTCTAATTTTAAAAGTATAATTTACATGTGTTCTTTCAACAGCTACTATCAGCCTAAGACTGAGCCGACATTACGACTTAAAGTGGGCGGCGGCAATCTAATACAGCATTCCACGCCAGTAGTTGAGCTACGCTCGCCATTTATACCGGTAGATTTAATTTTAAGAATTGAAAACTTTTTCAAAACAATTTTATTATTCCTTTAATTTACCTTTTAGACATACATGGGTCCTATGAAACTGCGTTCATTCCATCGTCCACCATTGAAACGTTTCTCGCATGGTTCCTTAGCAGCACCCGGTCCACATGCTGTACTACCACTGCTTAAGTATATCGCCAAAAAAGCCAAACAACGAGAGGTGGAGCGTATTGCGTCGGGTGGTGGCGACGTGTTTTTCATGCGTAATCCTGAAGATTTAAGCGGCAAAGATGGCGATATAATATTATGCGAATTTTGTGAAGAGCATCCACCTTTGATGAATCAAGTGCGTGTTACTCTTAAATTTTTAATCTATATTTAGTCACTCACTCACATTATTGTTTTTACATTATTTTAAGGTCGGCATGTGTTCCAAAATTAAAAACTACTACAAACGCAAGGCTGCAAAGGATAATGGTCCGCAAGACTTTAAATATGGCGAAGTGGCGTTTGCGCATACCAGTCCCTTCTTGGGTATAATACATCCAGGCCAGTGCATACAAGCGCTGGAGAATAATATGTATCGTGCGCCAATCTATCCGCACAATATCAATCCGACCGAGTTTCTTGTTATCCGCAATCGCAGCAACTTTTGGATACGCGCTATAAATGCGCTGTTTACAGTGGGTCAAGAGTGCCCCATTTACGAAGTGCCTGGTCCGAATTCGAAACGTGCCAATAATTTCACAAGAGACTTCCTGCAGGTATGAAGAAGCAGTTATTTTAGAGAAAAAAAAATTGTATTTTAATTTCTTCTCTGCTTTCAGGTGTTCATTTACCGCCTGTTTTGGAAGAGTCGCGACAATCCTCGTCGCATACGTATGGACGATATAAAGCGTGCTTTCCCGGCGCACTCGGAGAGCAGCATACGTAAGCGTTTGAAACAGTGTGCGGATTTCAAACGTACAGGCATGGACTCGAACTGGTGGGTTATTAAGCCGGAATTCCGTTTGCCGTCTGAGGAGGAAATACGTGCAATGGTCTCGCCGGAGCAGTGCTGCGCATTCTTTAGCATGATAGCGGCCGAGCAGCGTTTGAAAGATGCTGGTTATGGTGAGAAATTCCTATTCGCGCCTCAAGAGGATGACGATGAGGAGGCGCAACTGAAGTTGGACGATGAAGTGAAGGTGGCGCCTTGGAATACCACGCGGTAAGCAAGCTAAAATAGAAATTTGTTCTCACGACCGTTGAGTCTATATAACCGGAACGGATCAGGACTCTTTTTTTCGGTCAAAGATTGTCAAATTGACAGTATTCCTTCAAATTACTTCAGAGATCTTACTACTACTTAGATTTAGATCGCCGAAATAACAGCCCTCGGCGGGATAAAATCCGGGATAATTTCGGTAACGTTTTTCAGAATTGATTACTTCAGGGATGTTGTTGTTGTTGTTGTAGCAAAACATACAAATTGAATGATTAAAATCACGTTTTTGTATGGAAAACTCTCTTATTTGTGAAGGGTATTATTGCTTCGGTGCAACTGAAGTAAACGCATTTTCTTTTTTTTTTATTGTCTACAGCGCTTACATACAAGCGATGCGTGGCAAGTGTCTGTTGCAGCTGACTGGACCGGCCGACCCCACCGGTTGCGGTGAAGGCTTTTCTTATGTGCGCGTGCCTAATAAGCCCACGGTGCGTAACGTCAACTCTAAGAGATTCGAAATTTATTTATATTAAACGCTTTACAATTTAACCATTAGCAAACCAAAGAGGAGCAGGAGTCTCAGCCGAAACGTACCGTCACTGGCACCGACGCCGATTTACGTCGTCTGCCGCTGCAGCGTGCCAAAGAGTTGTTGCGTAAATTCAAAGTGCCTGAAGAGGAGATACGAAAATTGTCCCGTTGGGAGGTAATCGATGTGGTGCGCACACTTTCCACCGAAAAGGCCAAAGCTGGCGAACAGGGTATGGACAAATTTTCGCGTGGTAATCGGTTTTCCATCGCCGAGCATCAGGAACGTTACAAAGAGGAATGTCAGCGCATTTTCGATCTACAAAATCGTGTGCTGGCTAGTTCAGAGGTACTTTCCACGGACGAGGATGAGTCTTCAGCATCGGAAGAATCCGATCTTGAAGAATTGGGTAAAAATTTGGAAAATATGCTGTCAAATAAGAAGACATCCACACAATTGTCATTGGAACGCGAAGAGCAAGAGCGTGAGGAGTTATTGAAAAAGATTATGGAAGATCAAGAGGGTGGAAAGGGTGGCAAATCGAAAGAT